TTTCTCTCTGATGATTTTTAACATATCTAAAATCATTCCTGAGCTGTTATATAAAATTAGTTTTTTTCATTGGGTTTTATTCTTGTTTTTTGTTGGCTTTGTTTCTTAGTGTTTTTATTTCTTCATATGTGGGGCATTTTTGAGATGGTCATTTTGAGTAGTAATTTTAGAGTTCTATTTTCTCTCCTTTCCCTCTTCCATGTTCCCCTCTCCATCTAATAGATTTTCTGTTGCCTCTGCCTGTTCTTTCTACCTACCACTTAGGGAAGAATCAGGTATAAAAACAGTGGGCTAGCCTGGGCATGGTGACTCACACCTGTAATCTTAGCTCTTTGGGAGGACAAGGCAGGAGAATTGCTTGAGCCCAGGAGTTGGGGACCAGCCTCTCAAGATGTAGTGAGAACCCATCTCTACCAAAAAAAAAAAGGTGGGGGGGGAAGCCAGGAATGGTGGCACATGCCTGTAGTCCCCGCTGCTTGGGAAGATGAGGTAAGAGGGATCACTTGAGCCTAGGAATTTGAGGTTGCAGTGAGCCGTGATTGCACCACTGCACTCCGGCCTGGGTAACAGAGTGAGACCCTGTCTCAAAACAAAAAGCAAACGAAGAAAACACTGCAAAAACAGTGAGTTAGATGAAGGATATCACAGATCAAGTCAGTAGTTGTTTCATTTCCTGGACTGGAGGCCTTACCACAGTCCTCTCCCTTTCTTAGTTCTGTAACTTTCTCAAAATACTCAACTGTCATCAGCAAATTTTATAATCCCTTTGTAGGAGCCAAGGTGGCACATCCTCACTCCCAGCCTCAAGCAATGAACTGGTTCCACTTTAACAGAGCACTTTTCATTTTTGTTACTTCATAGAAGCCTACATCTTGGCTGTCACTGCCTGATTACAGAACCAGAATTGAGTATGCCTGTAGCTTCAGCCCTCCTTAACATGTTACATTTCTGTTTAGTTTCTGTTCCATAAGTCTGTCTGTCTTGTGTTAAATCTAAATAATGCCTGTTTGTTTTTCTCTGTTTTCTCTGTTATTGTTTCAACTTTGGAGCAGAACTGCTTCGTCAAAGCCTGAATGCACTGCACTATCTGACCACTCACTGGCTCCTTTTAAGTTTTGTTTTCTTTTTAAACATTAGATCCAGTAAAAGAAAAAAAAAAAAGTACAGTTCTAGTAACTTGTTTACAATATTATAATACAAATCTAAATTAAAACTTTAGCCTAGATTAGAAAATTACCATTTTGCAGTTCCACATCTAATATTTGTTTCAGGCAAGGATGATGAATGGATGCTAAACTATCAAATGAACAGTTGCTGGGGAATAGAATATTTGTGTGGTACCAAAATGTCATCCCATAGATTATATACTAAGTACAAAGGGAAAGATACATTTTAATGGAAAGATATAACAGTCATCTCCTTAACCAACTAATCAAACTTAGCTTCACAAATAAGAAGGCAATAATACAGCATTATGTACTTCCTAAAGTAATACTGTATGAAGTAAACAACATCATTTATGAATTATTCTTGCCAAAAAATATTGAACTTGATTCTAATCAATCTGTTAAATGCAGCCTTAATAGGAAGTGAGATAAGAGTACCTTAACACTTTGGAGAAACACAAATCTGCGCTAGGAGTTTGTTTTTTTTTTGTTTTAAGACGAGTTTCACTCTCTGATGCCTAGGTTGGAGTGCAGCGGAGTGATCTCGGCTCACTGCAAGCTCTGCTTCCCGAGCTTAAGTGATTCTGCTGCCTCAGCCTCACGAGTAGCTGGGACCACAGCCGCCTGCCACCACGTCCGGCTAATTTTTGTATTTTTAGTAGAGATAGAGTTTCACCATGTTGACCAAGCTGATCTCCCAACTCCTAACCTCAGGTGATCCGCCTGCCTCGGCCTCCCATAGTGCTAGGATTACAGGCATGAGCCACTTCACCTGGCCTGGGGGTAGGACATTTCTAGAAAAAAAGAGTCAACTGGGTTGACTCTTCAGAAGTACAGGGATATTTGAAAAAGATGGGATTGTTCTAGTTTAGAAGAGAAAGGAAACAAAATAACCAAATGCAATGTGTGAGCCTTAACTGAATTTTTGTCCAAAAAAAAAGTTTTAAAAGATATTTGGACTCATATAGCACAATAATTTAAAAAGCAGTGATAAAAAGGCTAAGCCAAGTGCAGTGGCTCATGCCTGTAACCCCAGCACTTTGAGAGGCAGAAGTGGAAGGATTGTTTGAACCCAGGTCTTCGAGACCAGCCTGGGCAAAAAAGAGGGACCCCATCTCTACCAAAAAGTTAGGTGGGGGTGGTGGTCCCAGCTACATAGGAAGCTGAGGCAGGAGGATCACTTGAGCCCCAGAGGTCAAGGCTGCAGTGAGCCATGTTTGCATCACTGCACTCCAGCCTCAATGACAGGAGACCCTATCTCTAAAAAAAAAAGATGAGCTTAAAAATGGACAAAGTATCTAAATAGGTATTTCTCCAAACAATATTTTAAAATGACCAATAGGGCAGGCGTGGTGGCTTACACCTGTAATCCCAGCACTTTGGGAAGCTGAGGTGGGTAGATCACAAGGTCAAGAGTTCAAGACCATCCTGGCCAACATGATGAAACCGCATCTCTACTAAAAATACAAAAATTAGCCAGGTGTGGTGGCACATGCCTGTAATCCCAGCTGCTCAGGAGGCTGAGGCAGGAGAATCACTTGAACCCAGGTGGCGGAGGTTACAGTGAGCTGAGATCATACCATTGCATTCCAGCCTGGGCAATGGAGCAAGACTCCGTCTCAAAAAAAAATAAAATGACCAATAAGCACTTGAAAGTATACTCAACATTGTTAGCCATCAAGAAATGCAAATTAAAACCACAGTGAGAACCACTTCTACCCACTAGGATAGCTATAAGGAAAAAGATAAGAGCAGATGTTGCCAAGGATGTGAAGAAATTGGAAACCCTTGTACACTGGCGAGAATGTAAAATGTTACATTATGCTTTGGAACACAATCTGGCAGTTCCTCAAAGGCTAAATGTAGAGTTTCCGTATAACCCAGCAAACATGTCCATACAAAAACTTGTATATAAATGGCCATTGCAGCATTATTTGTAATTGCCGAGAAGTAAAAGCAGCCCCAATATACATCAACTGATGTATATTATAAATAATATAAATATATTTTGGCAATAAAATAATACAAATATAATTTGGCAATAAAAATGAATGAAATACAGTTGGCCTTCCACATCCGTGGATTCAGCCAACTGTGGATCAAAAATATTCAGAAAATAGGCCCGATGTGGTGGCTAACACCTATACTCCTGGCATTTTGGGAGGCCAAGGTGGGAGGATCACTTGAGGCCAGGAGTTGGAAGCTGTAGTGAGCTATGAATCATGCCACAACACTCTAGCCTGGACAACAGAGTGAGACCCTCTTAAAAAATTTTTAAAAAGAATTCAGGAAAAATAAATTTCATCTGTACTGAACATGTAAAGACTTTTTTCCTTGTCATTATTTCCTAAACACTACAGTATAACTAATTATATAACATTTACGCTGTATTAGATACTATAATCTAGAGATGATTTCAATTATACAGGAGGATGTGCATAGGTTATATGCAAATACTGTGCTATTTTATGTTAGGGACTTGAACATTCATGGATTTTGGTATCTAAAGGTTTTGAAACCACTCCCCCACAGATACCCAGGGCTGCCTGTACTGATAACATGCTATAAAATGGATAAACCTTGGAAACATTATGCTTAGTGAAAGAAGCCAGTCACAAAATACTACACATTGTATGTGTCCATTTGCTATAGATCCTCATTATTTGTGGATTCTATATTTTCAAATTGGTCTGCTCACCAAAATTTATTTGTAATCTCAAAATCAACATTCCTGACACTTTCACAGTCATTTGAGTACAAACGTAGATCAGGGAAAAATCTGAGTTGTCCCTTAGCTGACACAACCGAGAGACAAAAAAGCAACACTCTGGTTTCTTTTTCAGCTGTCATGCTGTAAACAATTGTCCTTTTCAAAGTCTGTTTAGTGCCAGATTTTTTCACATTTTTTAATGGTGATTTTGCTGTCTAAAATGGCGCCCAAGCATAGTGCTGAAGTGGTCTCTAGTGTTCCTAAGCACAGGAAGTGTGTGGTGTGCCTTACAGAGAGTACAGGTGTTAGATAATTTCATTCAGGCATGAGCTATTGTGTTGTTGGCCATGAATTCGTTATGAGTTAACAATATACCTGGAATAAAGTGACTTGAAACAGAAACACATATAAGTATATGTATTGATTGGTTGATGAAAGGAGCAGTGATTTGCTGGTTCAGAGTTCACAGCAACTTTACAAAATATAAGTGTCTTGAATAACAAGCATTAACTATATATTAAATGTCCAGAATAGACAAACCTAATGGCAGAAAATAAATTCATGGTTGCCAAAGATTGGGGGAGGGGTGGGCAGGAAATGGGGAGTAGCTGCCAATGAATATGGGGATTCTTTTTTGAAGTGATGAAAATATTCTGAATTAGACATGGTGATAGTTACACACTTCTGTGAGTATATTAAAAACTATTAAATTTTAAACTTTAAAATGATGGCTAGGTGCAGTGGCTCACTCCTGTAATCCCAGCACTTTGGGAAATCAAGGTGGGTGGATTGTTTGAGCCCGGAAGTTTGCCAGCCTGGGCAACATGACAAAACGCCATCTCTACAAAAAATAAAAAAAGTAGCCAAGTGTGATGGCATTCACCTTTAGTGCCAGCTGCTTGGGAGGAGGCTGAGGTGGGAGGATCACTTCAGCCTAGGAGGCTGAGGCTACAGTGAGCTTTGATTGTGCTACTGTGCTCCAGCCTGGGCCAACAGAGTGAGACTCTGTCTCTAAATCAGTAGAATTTGTCATAGCACTAGGTATATAGGAGGTGTTTAATAGTTACTTTGAATTGAATTTATTGTACGCTTAAATAACTGTTTTGAATCTTCTTTGGTTTTAGATCTGCTGATTTGGGTCCTACTTTAATGACAAGACCGGGACAACCAGCACTTACCAGAGTGCCCCCACCTATTCTTCCAAGGCCATCACAGCAGACAGGAAGTAGCAGTGTGAACACCTTCAGACCTGCTTACAGTTCATTTTCTTCTGGATATGGTGCCTATGGAAATTCATTTTATGGAAGCTATAGCCCTTATAGTTACGGATATAATGGGCTGGGCTACAACCGCCTCCGTGTAGATGATCTTCCACCCAGTAGATTTGTTCAGCAAGCTGAAGAAAGCAGCAGGGGTGCATTTCAGTCCATTGAAAGTATTGTGCATGCTTTTGCCTCTGTCAGTATGATGATGGATGCTACCTTTTCAGCTGTCTATAACAGTTTCAGGGCTGTATTGGATGTAGCAAATCACTTTTCCCGATTGAAAATACACTTTACAAAAGTGTTTTCAGCTTTTGCATTAGTTAGGACTATACGGTATCTTTATAGACGGTTACAGTGGATGTTAGGTTTAAGAAGAGGCTCTGAGAATGAGGACCTCTGGGCAGAAAGTGAAGGAACTGTGGCATGCCTTGGTGCTGAGGACCGAGCAGCTAACTCAGCAAAATCTTGGCCAATATTCTTGTTCTTTGCTGTTACTCTTGGTGGTCCTTACCTCATTTGGAAATTGTTGTCAACTCACAGTGACGAAGTAACAGGTAAGGGAACAGGTTCAGATACCATATAACAATCTCAGATTTCAAGAACAGATTTGTTAAATTAGTTTTCTTTATATTCATTTGTATTTGCTGTTTTGGTCCAGTTATATTTTCAGTTAAGAGCTTCAAAACTCGCAGAGAAATATATAGCAAAAATAGGTTTGCTGATTAATTTATTGTTCAGTTAAACAGTGCACATTACCTTACTGTTTACAAGGTACTGAACTTGGTGCTGTGGAGGATACAAAGCTACATAGAGCATAATTCCTGTCTTTCTAAAATGTGTTGGAAGGGAGGTGGTGTAAGACGCATATACAAGTAATTGTAATGAAGCAGAAAGTGTGATAAGAAATATGACAGTTGGGGAGAGACGTAAGGTTTCTTGAACTCTTTTTTTTTTAATATGCGAGACACTGTGCTAGGTATTTTGTGTGTTTTATCTCAATTATTTCAACAACCCGAAGAGATAGGAATTATCCTCATTTTACAGGTGATAAAACAGATTCGGAGACTCACTTACCCAGCATCATATATTTAATAAGGCAGAACTATAAACAAAACCAGGTCTGCTTGAATGTTAAGCCATATTCTCTCAACTGGTACAGAGTATTAGCTCACGTTAGAAAAGGGAAGCTGTCGTTTTTTACTGTGGTATCCAGGAAGAAATAGCATCTAAGTTACATTTTTGAAAGCTAGGCAACCTTTCGTCAGTTAAATAAAGAAACAAAAACTGTCAAGCTGTTAGACCAGCTTGAACAAAAGTTCATAGGCAGAAAATAAGAGATTTGTTTGGCAGTTGTCCTATAGTATTAAGAAATAATATGAGAAATTAGGTTGAAAGCTAATAGTAGAAGCTGTTAATTGCCATTCTGAGACAATCTTTACATAAGGAATGGATGGTTTTTTGGCAGTTTATGTTTGTTTTTGTTTTTAAGCAGACTATGTCGTACATATAAACAGTAAAGAAGTCAGTCTGGGCCGGGCGCGGTGGCTCAAGCCTGTAATCCCAACACTTTGGGAGGCCGAGGCGGGTGGATCACGAGGTCAAGAGATCGAGACCATCCTGGTCAACATGGTGAAACCCCGTCTCTACTAAAAATACAAAAAAAAATTA